TTTTTTTTTTTTTTGGTTGCAGCCGTTATTGTTGTTAGGCGGGTCCGGGCTGGATTCGAACCGTGCCACCTTAGGTGTATGTGGCTGGCATCTTAGCCGCTTGAGCCACAGGCGCCGAGCCTTTACAGACATTTTATAAGGCTTTTTTTTGTTTTTTGTGATTTTTGTCCAAGGCCAGGTTTGAACCCACCACCTCCCGTATATGGGGCCAGCACCCCACTCCTTGAGCCACGGGTGCTGCCCTATAAGGCATTTTTTAAAAGTTCATTTTATATATGTGAATATTTTAGGTTCCTGTCCTTGGATTATGTTCTTTTGCTTTTGAATTTATGTCATTGAAACTTTCATATTTTCTGTGAGTGTTTATCAATTTACATATGCTTAGCTAACTTGAATTCCTGGCCTTGGCAATTAAATAGCATAAGAAAACATTGATATATTCTTTTTCGGTCTGATCTTTCTTTGGCCCTAATCTTGTTATCTGCTTTTAAAGACTTGCCCCATCATATGGCTGTCTTATATCATGTTGTGGTCCTATAATGTGTCTATAATATCACCAAGAATTCTTTTTTTTTCCTTACTACTGTGAGAGCTTTTATATCTAGTATTCTCTGCATTCCTATAGTACCTATCTGTGTAGTCAGCGTAGTAGTTAAGAGTATGGGCTCTGAAATTAGACCACTGAGCTCAAATCCCAGCTTCACCATTACTCACTAGTTGTGTGGCTTTGGGTTATTTAACCTTTTGTGCCTCAGTTTCCTCAATTGTAAAATGGGGGTAACATAGAGCTGTTGTGAAAATTCAATAAGTTTAATATATTTAAAGCCCAGCACATAATTCAGTTGGAGTGTTAACTATTGTTATTAATTATAGTAGCATTTAAATATTCCAGCAGACTGGTCCAATGGTAGTGGGTTATCAGAACTTATTAACATTAGTGTCCCTAAAATTACTATACAACCCCCCATTGCTATATTTGACTATCTTTTAATTAATTAATTAGTTAATTAATATTCAAACTTTAGCCTCAGTAGCACTGAGGAGCCTATTCCTAAGTGCTAAATTTTCCTTAGAAAAATTAATGGTTTACTCAAATATGATTTTCCCATCTAGATAAACCCTTAAAATTTTTTAGGGAAAAAAATTTAATAGTTGAAAGTGTCATTACTTTGAAGCTTATCAACTTACATGAATGACACATGGAAGTTTTCAGTTTAATAATAAGGAAGCAGAGTAATCTAAAATAACACTTAAATTTACTAATAGTTTATTTTTATAATCCATGTTTTTGTTGTTGCAGTTTTTTTTGGCCAGGGCTGGGCTCAAACCCACCACCCTTGGCATATGGCCCTACTCCTTGAGCCACAGGCGCTGCCCTATAATCCATGTTTTAATTGAATATTCCTTCATAAGAGTTTTAATAGATTCTCAACAATGTAATATAAGATCTTATTGTGTAGTCCTGCTATTAACTTTTCTTTTGAAACAGAGTCTCACTATGTCACCCTCAGTAGAGTGCTGTGACATCACAGCTCACAGCAACCTCAAACTCTTGGGGTCAAGCTTCTCTTGCCTCAGCCTCCCAAGTAGCTGGGACTACAGACACCCGCCACAATCCCCAGCTATTTTTTGTTGAAGTTGTCATTGTTGGTTAGCTGACACGGGCTGGGTTTGAACCTTACAGCTTTGGTGTATGTGGCTAGCGCCATAACCACTATTGTACAGGTGCCAAGCCTGCTATTAACTTTTTGATAAAGAGCAGTCTAAAATCTTCTATGAGAATTGATGGGGGTCTTAAGCTGGGTGAGAGGGCATCTACTTTATTCCTGAAATCCTTTTTTTAGCCTTTATTGAGATTGAGAACAGCTGTTCCCTGTCTTTTTTTTCTCTTTATCATAGCCTTGACAACTATTCATTTTTCCCTTCAGTCTTCTTTAGATCAAATCTTCATATTTCTTCTGATCTTTTTTTACCCAGTCCTATTTTCCAGTCTTTTGAACATTTCATCTCAGTGAATTTTTAAAAAATCTATGCTTTTTAGTGGTCTGCTTCACTAGTCTTGAACTGGTATAAAGTGATATGTATAAGTTCCAAAGGTTCTTACCTATATGTATTCCTTCAAGCTATTTCTGTCCCTCCCTTTTACTCCTATTTGAAATGGATACCATTGCTGCCAACAAACACTCTAAGCAATTTAAAATTGATTGGCAAATGAACAGGAAACTATGGGTCATCCGTTTTAAGCAAAGCAAGCATTTAGAAGGAAGGACTTATTTGTAAAGAATTATGAAATCTGTTCTTAGAGGCCACTGGTCATCATTTAAAATTTCTGAATTCTTAAATGCTATTTCCTTAAACTTCACAGTAAATAGATAATCAGTTTGTATTGATAGATTATATTTTGACCCTGAGCAAGGTCTCTTCTACCTCCTCCATACTTCTTACTTCCCTTTTACCCTGACTTTTTGATGAAGGATTGAGGTTGGGAAAAAAAGGGAGAGAAAATGTATTTTAGCTACAATTTGTCTTCACTTCTTACCAACAGAACACAAATAGGAAGAACCTAAACCAAGATCCAAGGTAGAGCTTAGTCATCCTGCTACAACCATATTTGGCTCTGAATGATTACCTTCCTCCAAACCATTAAAATGCCTCATGTGTGTGTTTGATGCTCATTCAATATACTATGCTACCTGAATAGGAGGATAGATTGTGTTGGACTCACTTTTCCCAGACATTTTTAGGGGTAATTTTAACCTAATCTCCCACTCAAAAGGCCTATGGAATATATTTTTATCCACCTTTGATATAGGTGTTATCAATCAGATATTTTTCTAATATGTTATTTACTTTGTTTTAGTGTGGAGCCATCAGAGAATCTACAATCCCTGATGGAGAAGAATCAGGCCCTGGTAGAGGAGAATGAAAAATTAAGTCGTGGTCTGAGCGAAGCAGCTGGTCAGACTGCCCAGATGTTGGAGAGAATCATTTTGGTGAGACTACAAAACTAAACTACTACTAGCAATATGGACATTTACTAACTTTAGTTTCCAAAATATTTAACATATTTTTGGCCAGGTGTGATGGCTCACGCCTGTAATCCTAACACTCTGGGAGTCTGAAGTGGGTGGATTGCCTAAACTCACAGGTTTGAGACCCGCCTGAGCCAGAGCTAGACCCTGCCTTTAAAAATAGCTGGGTGTTGTGATGGGCACCTATAGTCCCAGCTACTCGGGAGGCTGAAGCAAGAGAATCACTTAAGCCCAAGAGTTTGAGGTTGCTGTGAGCTATGACATTACAGCACTCTACCAAGGGTGACAAAATAAGACTCTGTCTCAAAAAAAAAATGTAACATGTTTCTCATTATGACAGACAAGTTATGTATAAAGAAATGTATTTGTGTTACCATACCCTCCAGGAAAACTTCCTGGGATATGTATGGGCTTGTAATCAAATAAGAAAAGTTAAAACAGAAAAGTCAAAAAACATACAGTGAACACTTACGTATCCATCACAAAGATTCTACATGAATCTAATTTTAAAACAGATTTGTTCTAAAATACCAGAAAGGAAAGAACTAAGTCACTCTTATCACCTTAAGTCCTACCTAATCTTTATCCATAATCCCAAGTAAGTCTTCCCTCACTAATATTTATTTCTTTTCTATTTCCCTTCCCCCAATGTCACATTTCACATTCCATCCTGATAGCTGCCATGGTGAGATACAACAGCTGGGAAATTAATTTTAATTCATTTTCCATGTGGTTAATTTCCAAATAGTGGATCGCTATGTAACTGATTACACCAGTTCTGATTCCTACTACCTGTCTGATAGTGACCTCCTGGATCAGTGCATGCTGATTCTGTCATTAAAGATTTTAATTAGTCTATGCACAATTCAATCTTTGATAGCACAACTATCTATCACCAGAAGCAAAAATGAGTTTTTACTAAAATGTGATTGAACTTCTGTAACTTACCTTCATGTATCCAGGTGCTCTCTAGTCAAAGAAAAATAAGCTGCTTAAAGAGTTCTTTAAAATGGGCTAAACCCTGTATCTATTATATTGTCTATTACAAGAAGAAGGGTGAAAATGGGACATAGGGAAATTTATATACAGTTTCTATCTCAATGCTATGTTTTGCTGCCTTTGAAGTAACTCTAGAAGCCGTGTTTTCACATGTGAGTGTAGCTGACAAAACAGTATTTGTTACTCTAGCCACATACTCATCTGACCTTTATAAGGTTGTTACAATGGCTATCTGATAGGCTTATTATTTGGTATCCTGTCTTAACTTCATAATAAATATATTTTTGTCTCATATAAATTATTCTTCTCAAATCTGTCATAACATCCAGTGTGTTACAGATACTGTGATTGAAATAAAACTGAAAATATCAGTCACTCTTCCCAAAACGTAGCTGCCTTCTGCTATTTCTTCTTTCTCTGCCACCATTCTTGTGCCTTACCTTTTTTCTTGCTGTCTTTTGCTAAAACTAGCATAACATATCAGATAATGTAACCTTTTTAAAAAGCTCAGCTCAAATTTAGTGTGAGGCTCTTTTATGTTTGAAATGCCCTTAATGCTAGGGGTAGGGAACTGTAGAGCAGGAGGCAGTTTAAAGTAAGTGGTGGTGGTGGTGGTGGTGTTTTGCAAACAGCAGGAAATAGCATGTCAGGAAGTATTGTTTTTTCCCCTAGTTGTGAAGTTCTCTATGGAATTAAGGCTTCACACTCCACCTCATTGTCTGAGCTTCATGGTAAGCATAAAACCCAGCTGCTTGGATGGTATTTTTAGTAGCTCATGTTGACTGAAGGGCTAATTTCCATGACTCTGTTAAAAAAAAACACATTTATCACTAAATAACCAAAGCTCACTAACTCCTCTATTATAGCAAAAGCAACCTCTCTACCTAGGTTTTAGTCCATTGGAGGAGAGAGATCATAATTAGATAAGGCTGTCAGGCACTGCCACTGATGATCTCCTTTGTCTTTGTTGCAGACAGAGCAAGCGAATGAAAAAATGAATGCCAAGCTAGAAGAGCTCAGGCAGCATGCAGCGTAAGTTTCCTACCAGATATTTATTAGTGACCTATGCCACCTTACTATATAATCATGGATCCTCTGTCCTTTGCAATATGATTAACCCTTGAGTTCTTTTTGCTTGAATTTCCAGCTGCAAACTAGATCTTCAAAAGCTAGCAGAGACTTTGGAAGACCAAGAATTAAAGGAAAATGTAGAGATTATTTGTAACCTGCAGCAATTGATTACCCAGTTATCGGTAAGCGAAGTAGGGGCAGTATAAATAGACATATCACTTTCATTTGTTTCATTCAATGCATGTAAGCCTTTCTAACTCTGCCTTTTGCTGAAATAATAGATTATGAGCTGCTTGAGGACAGAGGTCATGGATCATTGAATATGATCTGAATATTAAGTTTGTCAAATCGAAACACTCATTAAGTTATATATGCATTGGCACACTAGTATTGCAATATTCTAATCAAATACCGGAAGCAACAACATAACGGTGCAAGATTGCCTAGGTGGCAAGAGTGGCAGTCGTTGATTTGCTGTCCTTTCTGTATAGCCTGCCTTCATAAGAGGCCTTATACTGTATCCTAATTTTAAATGAGTCCTGACAGATAGCTTAGAGCAACAAGGAATACCATAGCTTGCTTTTATTTATTTATTTTATTTTATTTGAGACAGTTTCACTATGTCGCCCTCAGTAGAGTGCTGTGGTGTCACAGCTCACAGCAACCTCAAACTCTTGGGCTTAAGTGATTCTTTTTGCCTCAGCCTCCCAAGTAGCTAGGACTATAGGCGCCCACCATAACATCCGGCTATTTTTTTTTTTTTTTTTTTTTTTTTGGTGAGACAGGAGCCTCAAGCTGTCCCCCTGGGTAGAGTGCCATGGCATCACAGCTCACAGCAACCTCCAACTCCTGGGCTCAAGTGAGTCTCCTGCCTCAGCCTTCCAAGTAGCTGGGACCACAGGTGCCCACCACAACGCCCAGCTATTTTTTGGTTGCAGATGTCATTGTTGTTTGGCAGGCCCAGGCTGGATTCGAACCCGCCACCTTGGGTGCACGTGGCTGGCACCTTAGCCACTTGAGCCACAGGCGCCGAGCCACATCCAGCTATTTTCTGTTGAAGTTGTCATTCATTATTGTTTAGCTGGCCTGGGCCAAGTTCGAACTCACCAGCCTTGGTGTATGTGGCTGGCTCCATAACCACTGTGCTATGGGTACCAAGCCCATTGTTTACTTTTATAACCAATAAAAGTAAGTAAATCAGTCTGAATGATCATTTTACTGTAAGTTCCCATTTGTATTTATTTTTAGAACTATTGTTATAGATATGGGTGTGTTCTGGGGTTAAGGGTATTTATTTATTATTTTTCACAGAAGAAAAATTCTTACATTTCTACCATCCCTAACAATCCATTTTTACTTTTGGTGGTGTTTTTTCTCTTTGTCCTTAGGCATATATGGTGTTTTGGGTTTTCTTTTGTTGTTGTTGTTGTTGTTGGGTTTTTTTGCAGTTTTTGGCCAGGGCTGGGTTTGAACCCACCACCTCTGGCATATGGGGCCAGCGCCCTACTCCTTGAGCCACAGACACCATCCAGGCATGTATGCTTTTTAAAAAATTGAAATCATACTGTGTTAAGGGTTATGGTTGATTTTGTTCCATCTATACTCTTTTACTTACCATTATACAGCAATGATATATATATATAAATCTCTGGTGCTAATTCCTAGCTCTTGGGAAGAGGTTTTAATTTTATCAGAACCATGAGTCTCGCATCCCTGGACTTTCCCAAGGAAAGTCCCAGTGTTTCCCAGTGTTTTCTAGGGTTGTCAATAATATATCACAAAATCATCCACATGTAGATTTATTCTTAAAGAGTAAATTAAAAAAAAGTGCCATATAATATTGTTGGGGGGTAAGGGTCATGATAGCTAGCTCTGAGAAATTAAAACGTGTAAACTCCTAAAATACTAATAAACAATTTTTTTCAATTTCTGATTAATTTAGGGATATAAATGATTAGGTTACAATATTTGCATTTGTTAGGTAAAGTCCAAGTTATAGTTGAGCCCCTCAGGCAGGAGGTGTGGTATGTACCCCTACGTTGTACCTGTTAGGTGAGAGCTTACCAAATCTCTTCCCTTCCCCTGCATATTATTCAGTGTTTCAGAAGTAGTGTTATATAAAACTGTCATGAGCAGTCTCAGATGGCAGTTCATTTATCTAATAAATGGGGCACAGTAATTGAGAACTTGGCCTATAGAGCCAGACCACCCCTGGTTTGAAGACAATCCTGCCATTTCCTAGCTATATAACCTTGCTAACTGTCAAAAGGAAATAATTTAAGTGACTCAAACAGGGGTTAAAGGTATTATTCAGCTGATGCACTCGGGGAGCTCCTGAATTCTAGATAACTTCCTAAAGTGAAGCAGGATTAGAATTTTATAGGGTGAGGGGAAAAGGATGTATATCCTTACAGTTTGGCTCAAGTAACCGTTTTTATTATTAATTGATGTGAAACTTTTAGTTTGAGATTGTTTCAGTTTTTATACCTCTTCCTCTAGAATGTATTGGTGCGATCCTGTCCTAATAACTGTCATTATTTTTTGAGAGTTCTCTTACAAGCCTTATAGTTTATTAGTTGGTCAAAGTTTATAGTAGAATGCAGTGGGAACAGAAAAGAAGTAGTGATTAACTGTTAGTTTAGAAAAGTCAGGAAGGCATAATAGAAGAAACTGAGTCCTAAAAATGAACAGGAGTTTGCCATGCAGACAAAATGGAATGGACAATCTATATATAGAGGAAAAAGTATATGCAAAAGCAAAGAAGTATGAAATTTAAGAAAATGGTAAAGAGCTTAATATGGCTAAAATATAGAGTTCATGCTAGAGAATGGCTATCACAAGGTTAAATTTCATCATTTGTAATTCTACTCAGATATAGCTGAAACATTTGATGTATGAAAACATTGTGTGAACTGCTTCAGAATTAAGATAATCTAGGTTGCAGAAGCCTACTACAGCCAAAACAAGCTCAGAAAATAGTGACCCAGGGCACTCACCATTGTTCATAGCCATCACACCAATTTTAGAGGATTTAACACCACTTTATTTCTGGGTGTTGGAGTTATATGGGAAAGATAAAGGAAACCCATGGAGGCAAATTGATAAAATGATTCTCATCTTCAATGAGAATCTGGCAATATGACTGGTGCCTGGTGTGTCTGTAGAGGAAGTTGCTGGCAGTGACTGGCTCTATAGAATCTCTGTGTCTGTCTCTAAAATACACTTGGAACATGCAGTAGGAGGGTGCTAAATGTTGCCACAGCTGATAAAGTTCTTGGCTTCTATCCACTGTCATAGATTGGCAGAGTAAACTCTTTTATCCAGGGCTCCTGCTGGACTCTTGAATCAGAGCTCTCCACATCTATTGTTTTGAGACCCTCCCAGCTACATATTTTTTTTGAAATGTATATCCTGTGGCTTTTATTAAGACTTAATACAGTGAAAACAAAATCTTTCAAATATAAGTCCTTGGGTATTTCATTGTGGATTAAAACTATTTTTAAGTGATGGGTGAATACCCCTTTTTCTATTATGAAGACAACTATTGTTCCTGGATATTCCTCCTGGGGATTTAAGCACTAAACTGTACCATTTCTTCCTTTAAAATATAATTCAAGCAAACCTCCTTATTGCAGTTACCTGTGAGGAAATTCATGCAATCCTTTCAGTTCCCACAAAACCAAGTAATTTTTGTGTTTATATCCCCTCCTCCAAGAAAAGTTTCATAAAAAAACATTTTGCATGCCCAGTGATGGTATTACCTACAGCCTACAAGCACAAACTTCATGCTGGATCGTATTGCTGGGTGATGCAGTACAATGTACCCTTTACCTGTTCCCTTGACAATCAAATTTGCTAAATCATAATCATAAGAGATTCTTGGTTGTAGCCTTAGAATGGGAGGAAAGAGGGCTATGAGATTGAAGTAAATCCCATTGTTATATACCCATGTATTTACATTTAGGATTATGAAGGCAGAATCCTGCCATATTAATACAGATCATGTTACCGTAGCCCTAAGCTTAAACCTTAGCATTGTGAAAGTTCACTGGGCCAAAAAACCAAAGGTAAACTCATAATATCAACATACTATCTTCAAGAATTAACCCATCTACTTTGATCCTGACCCTTTGGAAGGTACTAGAAAAAGTTTCCAAAAGCCAATGTTATAAACCCTAATAATCTTGGATAGGCCTATAACTAGTTATTATACTGAAAATTGAAACATGAGAGAAAGGAAAAGGTAACCATTAACCTAATAATAGAGTGACAGTCTGTTTTTAAAGAATGGTTTAGTATGTCCTGCACTTGGAGAATCACCAGTACTGTAAATCAGAATGGGAAAGGATGTGGGTATACTGGAGGGTCCTTTGAGTTGTCTTTGAGCCCCACTGGTTGGAAGTTTCTGGGGAAAATAAGGAAAATGCTTTATAACAGCACTTATTAAGGGCTTCTTTACTCCTTGCCTTAAAGGTACTAAGATTCAAATTCCCAAAACTATGTTAATGTTTCACAGGACTGATGCGAAGACTCCATGTGCTAATCCTAAATATTTCTTTTCTATTGAGCTAATAATAGCTCTTTCAGCTAGTACCTCCTTAATTAGGTCACTTCTTGAAAGCAATCCTTTCTTCCTAGTGTTTTGAGGGATCACTTAAACAGAAGTGTTAATCCATATATTGCAATGCCAAATAAAGGCTAATTCCACTGGTGAGAACAGAACTTGCTCATATGATAGTCTGCAAACAGATTAGCCCTAATTAGTGGGTTTATATTTCCCTTCTAGGTGGTGGTTGTTCCAATGCTCACAAAAAAAATTTGCTATTCTCTGGTGGCAGGAATAGTACTTACCGTTTCCCTCCTAGTATCTACTACCTGGAATAGCTGCATGAGATCAGTTCTTACCTACCTGAGAGACAGAAGTTGCAATGCATTATTGTATTACTTTATAAGAAAATTTTCCAGAGGTCCCCACTTAAGGTATTTAATTCCTTATAGAGGAAGATCTTGACAACTTGACTCATTGTAAAAATCAATAATCCAGGCCTCTTTGCCTACTTGCCCTAGCAATAGAGGCCCATTTGTTGTCTACGGCAAACGTATCCTGCTTTGTAAACTTTCTTACTCTGTAAACCTATCTTTCGCTTTCTAAATAAATTTTGTTTCATGTTTGCCTTAAAAAAATAAGCCTTGGCTCGGCGCCTGTGGCTCAAGCGGCTAAGATGCCAGCCACATACACCTAAGGTGGC